GACCCTAAACAAATACAATGAATGAATTCGATCTTCTATTTAAAATATTTACACTAGTGGATACCACAAAATCTTATGTTATACTTGATGAAAGTATAAATAAACTCTTAAGTGTTAGTGAATCTATCGTTTTGATGTGATACGCATCCTACGAAACTAAGTTCAACGATCCAACCGTCAAACTTGTTTATATATGCTTCGAGATCGCGTACGCCAAAAATTGCAAAAAAACAAACATTCAGAGATCAAGTAATGAGACAAAACCTTTCGACGGTTATAAACGAAAAATCATGATTTAACGGTTATTATAACTCCGATTTTGATGAATTTTTACAGCTACACTCCTTGACCCTAAATGAATACAATGAATGAATTCGATCTTCAATTTAAAATATTTACACTAGTGGATACCACAAAATCTTATGTTATACTTGATGAAAGTATAAATAAACTCTTAAGTGTTAGTGAATCTATCGTTTTCATGTGATACGCATCTTAGAAACTAATTTCAACGATCCAACCGTCAAACTTGTTTATATATGTTTCGAGATCGCATACGCCAAAAATTGCAAAATACAAACATTTAGAGATCAAGTAATGAGGCAAAACTTTTCGACGGTTATAAACGAAAAAACATGATTTAACGGTTATTATAACTCCGATTTTGATGATTTTTTACAGCTACACTCCTTGACCCTAAATGAATACAATGAATGAATTCGATCTTCTATTTAAAATATTTACAGTAGTGGATACCACAAAATCTTATGTTATATTTAATGAAAGTATAAATAAACTCTTAAATGTTAGAGAATCTATCGTTTTGATGGGATACGCATCCTACGAAACTAATTTCAACGATCCAACCATCAAAGTTGTTTATATATGCTTCAAGATCGCATACGCAAAAAATTGCAAAAAAAAAAAACATTTAGAGATCAAGTAATAAGACAAAACTTTTCGACGGTTATACATGAAAAATCACGATTTAACGGTTATTTTAACTCCGATTTTGATGTTTTTTTACAGCTACACTCCTTGACCCTAAGCAAATACAATGAATGAATTCGATCTTCAATTTAAAATATTTACACTAGTGGATACCACAAAAATCTTATGTTATACTTGATGAAAGTATAAATAAACTCTTAAGTGTTAGTGAATCTATCGTTTTGATGTGATACGCATCCTACGAAACTAATTTCAACGATCCAACTGTCAAACTTGTTTATATATGCTTCGAGATCGCGTACGCCAAAAATTGCAAAAAAACAAACATTCAGAGATCAAGTAATAAGACAAAACTTTTCGATGGTTATAAACTAAAAATCACGATTTAACGGTTATTGTAACTCCGATTTTGATGATTTTTTACAGCTACACTCATTGACCCTAAATGAATACAATGAATGAATTCGATCTTCAATTTAAAATATTTACACTAGTGGATACCACAAAATCTTATGTTATACTTGATGAAAGTATAAATAAACTCTTAAGTGTTAGTGAATCTATCGTTTTGATGGGATACGCATCCTACGAAACTAATTTCAACGATCCAACCGTCAAACTTGTTTATATATGCTTCAAGATCGCATACGCCAAAAATTGCAAAAAAACAAACATTCAGAGATCAAGTAATAAGACAAAACTTTTCGACGGTTATAAACGAAAAATTACGATTTAACTGTTATTTTAACTCCGATTTTGATGATTTTTTTACAGCTGCACTCATTGACCCTATATGAATACAATGAATGAATTCGATCTTCAATTTAAAATATTTACACTAGTGGATACCATAAAATCTTATGTTATACTTGATGAAAGTATAAATAAGTGTAGATTTTTAAAACCCTCCAAATTTCATGAACAATGTTATTTATTTGAGTGAAAAATTAATAATAATAAGTGTGAAAAATATAATCACTCGTAATGAAAAGCTTTACAACTTTCATTAAGGGGTCAACTCCGAAATTTAGTATGTATATACTAATTTAGTATTATGTTTTACATTTTTTTGGGTCAAATTATGTTTTTCTTTTCATTTTTATTGATTTAAAATATAATTTTCTTAACGGGTAACGGGTTGGGTCATATTACCTGATAATATTAACGGGTTGATTTCGGGTCGGGTCATATTACCCGTTTACTTTAACAGGTATTACACGACACGACCTGTTAAGCTATCGGGTATGACAGGAAAACGACACGAACACGAGAAACACGACACGAATGCCAGGTCTACTCATGAGACAACGGTTCAGAAAGTTTTTTGAACAAGCGCACGGTTGTAGAGGTCGAAAAGTTGTCGGAAGGGAATGAGGGTCTTTTTTGGATTTTTTTGTGACGATTTTGAAGATCTTTAAATTGTGTTTGTTCATCGTATATCGTATGATTAAAAATCATTTTAAATATTTTTATTTAAAATTAAATATGAACAGTGCATAACGAAAATTGTCCGCACGATATACGATAAACGGACACGATTTGAGAATTCTCAGAATCCTCACAAACAGGGTCCGGAGAGGATCCTCATAAGTCGGAATGAGCGTTCGGTTGTAGAAGGAAAAAGATCCTGGTCAGATCATTTTCTTGGGGATCCTAGGGATCCCATGATCGGGACCATCCATCGTATATCGTACGGTCAGAAATCATTTTAAAATTTAAAATTTAAAATAAATATAAATAGTACCTAACGAAAACTGAACGCACGATTTACGATGGACGGTCCCGATCATGGGATCCCTAGGATCCCCAGAAAAAGTATTTGATGAGGATCCTTTTCTGTAGAGATCAGCAGGTCAAAAGAAGTCCTTGGTCTAAAACTATTTTTTTTTAATGAGGCCAAATGTGCCTTACTTAACATTAATTACTACTCCTAAGCTAAACTGAAGGGACAAGTGATGGTTTGAATTTGGGACATAGTGAGTTGAAGAGAAAAGTCCTAATCACTAGAATAGATTAATCCATTATTTATGGAGATGGAACAATTTTAAAACATGTAATTTTCAATGTGATATCCCGAAAATTTTAAATGGTGGATTAAGAGTGGATCACTACTAGCCATAGTTAGTAAAACAATTTTACCTAAATTTGGTGTTTGGATCAGTTGATCCTTACTACAAGGCCCATTAAAGGATCCCTTAGACCATCTCTAACCGAAGAAGGGCCAGAGGGCTCGTTTTAGCCCTTTGACCCTCCAAGAAATTAATATTTTAATGAACAGTGCATGTCCATATTTCTTACCATCCCCAACCGAAGGCCGAAGGGCCATATGACTCGTTTTAGCCCTGTCACAAAAAACCGTCTCCAACCGAGGGTCAAAGAGCCATATGGCCAAACATAATTTATTATTGAAATTTAAAAACTACAACAATTTATATTTAAAAAGTACAACTAAAATTTAAAAACTACAACAACTTAAATTTAATATCTAAAATCATCATTATCTTCATCATCTGCCATTGTAGGAGTATAGTCAGAGGTAAACAACTACTGCCGGGTCATAATTTCTTTTTTTTTTCCCCCTATCAAAATAGGCTTTACTCATTAGAGTGTAATTTGAAGTGTTCATTTCTATATTCTTATCATCCATCTCTTATTGTATTTGTTTAGCCCATTCTTCATGCCTACGGTTCCTTTCTTCTGCGACAAGGGCATTTTGCTCCACCATTAATCGCAATGAGGCCGCCACTTCCTGTTGATTGGTGTGATCATCATTTGCCTTACCTTTTTCCTTCAACCTTCGGGCCTTGTTTTGTCCCATAGCCCTAGGTATGGAACCTTCACCTGAAGACGGATTTTCTACCCTTGTTTGTTGAATGGTAGGAGATCCATCTTCATTCATATCTACAGCTAAGGATACATTTTTGAACACCGGTGTAGGACCTACTCTATGTTGAGGTGGATCTTCAAATAACACCCACCCTTTACATATTTCCCAACAACCGTGAAACTAAAAGGGTTTCGAGCTGCCCTCCATATACAAGTCCTCCACTTGGCGTACCTAGAAAATATAATTACAAAAATTAAGGGAAATTAATTTATAAAATTAAATGTAATATAATTAAATAGAATTACAAAAATTAAAGGAATTTAATTTATGAAATTAAATGTAATATAAGTAAATATTTAAAATAAATTGTGAAAACACTTACTTCGTCGTAGTAATTGGCGCTGCTTTCATGTCTACTTGCTGCTACTAACAGTGCTTGATGTCATTTGTTCAAACTTGGATGAAGATGTTTCTTCCATCTCGAAGAACAACTCTCGTGGTTTCGGGTATTGGGTGGAGTGGTGCCTTCGTAGAACTCTAAGTATTTTTTGGACACACGAGTCCAAACACCTTCACTTGTTTGAGAACTCCCTCTTACACTATCTTCTGACACCCATCTATAAGCCCTGCAAAGAGCTTCATCTTTGTTTCAGGTTCAAGCCCTACCTTTCATTGCAGATGAGGCCATTTGAAAATTATTGAAAAATTGAAGGAAAGATTATTGGAAGAGGAAAGAAAATATGAGAATTGAAATGGTGAAAATTTTGTGAGGAATGGTGTAGGAATGACTAAGGTATTTATAGGAAAAAATGAGAATTTTTTTTAAAAAAATTTTGACCCAAAATTTTTTTCAGAACTAAATTAGTGATTTTTGAGTTTTATTGAGTAAGGTGAGATTAAAATCGAGTTATAAGGGACGTAGCTAAAATAAGCCTAAAAGGAGCAACAATTGTATTTGTATATAGAAATGAACAACATTTGTCAATTCGAACTACATTACAGCTTCAACAGAAAGTTCAGTTTGAACAATGAAGAAACTTGAAAAGAAAAATGACCTAGAAACTAAAATGCAGCAACTAGCGCTGGCCTAAAACCTAATTCACATATGTATGCACATCTTAAGAGAATGATGAAACAAAAACAAAGCAGTCAAGAGTTAATAATGAGGTTAGTTTTTTGTGTTATATCCCCTAAAAAATTAATATTGTACAACTTGGTTACATCAATAAAATCCTCTTGATCCTCTAGACTGATAAAGCTCCAGCCTACTTTTAGCTTCCGGTAATAATTCTTCGACTGACGGTTCATTCGCCAGATAAGCCTGCTTTGTCGACCACTCTAGCACAATCAGCACCTCCTCCTGAGCAAGCGTCTCGTTGTCCGGAATATGCAACGCAATGTAGCACAGCAGAATCAATGACGGAATCTGCACCCCGGATTCCCCAAAATAAACCAATTGAATTAGATGCTTGGTTCCCCCAGCTTCTATAATCGCTTTGCAGTGATTTACGTGGAGGAAATTCTCAGTGCATGCAAACTTGTTCAGTGCAATCACAGCCGCTGTAGAGATATTCGGTTCTGTTTCGTCGAGCAACTTCACCAATGGCCCAATGAATCGCGTCTCCGTCGCTCTGAAAGTTCTTGCTAAGTTTCCGATCGCTTGGATGCACGGTTCAAGCAGGTCGGAGTCTGCCTTTTTGACTATTTTCAGCAGCTGCTCGACCACTGCTTTGCAGGCGGGGGATGTCGGCTTGAAAGCCGACCGCCTCAAGTCCGCATTTTGCTCTGCCACCGCGGTGATCTCCATAAGCGCATTGGCCGAATTCTGCTGAACTTCCCAAGAACCTGTTTCTAGCAAAACAGCGAAACACAAAAGCGCTCTTGACTCCGTGATGCTACCACAAACACTCGCATTCCCCTTGGCAAGTTTCCATAGCGCCCTCGCCGCCATTGCCTTCATCTCCGCCTTGGTTTCGGGGTCTTCGTACTCCCTCCCCTTGATGCTGGCCCCGGACAGTGCCACGTGGTGATTGTGCGGTCTCGCGATGTGGTGACTCGGAGGCGGATGATGAAGGTTCTGGTGATTGTTATTTTGAGTCGGCTTCCCCTGGGCATGACCAGAGCCGAGGGGAGCCGGACCCTCATTGTTCATAGCCATTGTGCTTTTCACAACATTCTGCATCTGACTAAACATGTTTTGATTCCCAGTTATCGGGTGTGCCGTCTGATGCTCCGTGTTGTTGTTGCTCGCCATCACAATCGAGTGCAACGACATTTGTTCCTTGCTCGGGATAGTGTACTTGCTGTGCTCCTGAATCGTCTCGAAAGCGAGATGACTCACGAGCAATCGGATGACATTGTTTTGCGCAAAAGGGTCTTGGCATTTCGGATGATTCTCCGCCAATTCGGAGACCGCCCAAGCAACGAGCGCCTGGACTTTCATGTGGCCTTCTTTGAGGATTTTCGCAAACACTGGGCAGACGCCGGCGTTCACAATCTGCTCGACGCTTTCGGGGTCCTTTCCCAACAACCCAATTGCCCTGGCGGCGCTCTCCTGCCCTTCCTTTCCTCCTTCCTTCGCCACCTTCAGCAGCGGAGGCACCCCGCCTTCCTCAATGATCAGCCTCCCGTACCTGTCGTTGTCTCTCGCCAACGACACCAAAGAAGCTGCCGCATCAGATCGCTTCTCCATCGAGCCAGTGTAGAGGATCGCAATCTGTTCCCAGATAAGGCAGAGGATCGGTTCATTAGAGGCGATCGGGGGAAGCCCTAGATACTCATCATCACGGTCGTCGGCAGGGGCTGAGACTTGGAGGAGCCACGACACGTCGCCAATGTGGTTGTCGAGTAGCTGACCGATCTTTTTGAAGGCGCCGCTGGGGATGATGGTGAATACACGTTTCATAAGGCCGGTGGCTCGGCACTTGATGACGAGGGTGAGGGCCTTGTCGAGGGCTTGTTCGGTTTCGTCGATGATGCGACGCGTGGGGCGCTCGTAGAGATCATTGCTCGCACGTGCTGCCTGGCGGAGGAGGCCGGCGAGCTTCTCAGTCTTGGATTTGAGCTCCATGCACTCTTGTTTGTTAGATTGGGCCTCGTCGGCGGCCTTGCTCACCTGGTCTGCCAATTGTATTGGCCTTGCCAGGATCTCTTTCACAATTGCCGCCATGGCCAAGGCCCCCCCCAAACCTCCAAAACCTGATCAAACACCTTCAAACTGAAGAAACCCACCACCTCAGAAAATCCCAATCAAAGATGGGTTTTTGTCTTTCAACAAATGTCAATAATGAAATGCGATTGATCCTTTGATCATCACATATTCATGTTTATTCGATCAAAACATTAACGCAACAATGGTATCATTTCTATGGCAGATGAAGTCTCATTGGTGTCCCGGTGGGGGAAGATTATGGATGCGTTTGCATTCCCAATTTTGTATCAGTGATGGTGGTGGTGGTTCTGAGGGTTGAAGAGGAGGGTGGCGCCGCCGGTACGACGAGGAGGAAGATGAGTTAATTGTTAAGGTGAAACAGGTTTTTCTCCAACTTTCACGTAAAAAAACTACAATTCATGTTGACGTACGTTATATATAGCAAGTGAATTGATTGGTCTAACTTTCCTTTGGATTTATTTTATCCAATAAAAAAAACTCTCTTTCGACAAAAAAGAAAGAAAGAAAAAAACTGTCTTAGATTTTCAAATGCACGAGAGAATAAAGTTAATGAAGTCTATGAAGATGGGTCCAAATATGGCTTTACATTTATGATTTGAATTGTGCAAGGCTTATAGCTTCCAATAAAATCAAGTTTTGACTTTAGGGTTTTGCATTACGATTATTATTATACTCTAAAGTAATCAAATATTCAATTCTCTCAAGATGATAGAACAATTTTTTGGGTACCCGAAATACATTACAATTTTACTTCAATTATAACATGTGTGTGTTTTTTCATTAATATATATACCTTAGAATTAGAAGTAGACACTATAAAAGACCTTGCTAGTAGGAAACAATTTGTCACGTAAAACATGGTTTCGTCTTCGAAAATTTTAGGCAACGAAATCCCATCAGGCAAAGTTTGACGTGCAAAAGTCGTCGCTCGAAGTTTAACCCGACAATATTTAGAATTCGTTAGGCAACTCTGTGTTTGCCTGACATAATTATGGACGATCAATTTGTTGCGCAAATCTGTGTTAACCAACTAAGCCCGACGAAAGGCATGCCCGACCAAATATTTTCCTCGACCAAAGTTTAAATTTACGAAAAAAAAAATATACTGTATATTACTTGACGAAATTTCGATGGGTAAGCTTTATAAACAAAAAAGAATAAAAATGTAAAAACCTATACCGACGACCTTCTTATTCAGGTAAAAATTATTTAATATTAAAAACAATAAAAAAAGTGTTGTAAACTTCTTGTTTAAGTGTGATTGTGTAAATCCTAGATTAGATTTGATTCTAGTTATTCTTCCCTATTAGGACTTGTATTCCTTGGAGGAAAAGGATTTCTTCTCTCCCTTATTACTATAAATAAAGGCACTGCGTAGGAGGAATAACACATCCTCTACACAACCCTACAAACACATCTTTCTCTCTATATTTTCTCTGTGTCACCAGCCCCCTTCATTGTCTGTTAAATATAGGCCACAACATGTTATCAACACGCTCCTACCGCTGTGCTTAGGAATCTTACGTGGAAGTTTTCTGCATCAAACCAGTTCATCAATATCATCACGCAATCAGGTTCTTTCAAAACAACTGTTTTTATCTTGATATTTGTGCAGCCCTAATGGCATGAACATTCACCATAATGCATGACCCAACTTTACATTTTTCAAATTTTAGATTCTACATAAATTGTGCATGTATTATATCCATAATATGAATTATGTGAATTGATATCGCCATGAATTGCATCATATATCTGTCAATGAATTAAATTATATGTTGAATATGCATTAAATTTCATTAATTTTATAATTTGGAATTAAGTTAAATTTTTTTTTTTTTTTAGGGTTTCGTTGAAACCCAACCATGTCGCATGTGCCATCCCTTTCCTCGAGCGGAGAAACCCAATCTTGGAGCCACAACTACAGGCCTAAACCTTAAACCTGACGCCTAGACAGGGTTGCATCTCCTGCAGCCATGCCCAGCAAACACGGCTACCCTCCCTGACAACTTGAAGTTGTCACCGACGAGTCTTGATATAGATTCATTTGAATCTCATATGTTTTTCTTTCGAAATCCCAATTTAATTTTTAGGGTTCCTAAAAAGAAAGTTGAGAATTTTTACTTTTCATTCAAATTTTTGGGTTGCCATTGAACCCACGGCTTTCACCGTGATTTTTTGCACATGACACGACCGCCTGAAGCAGTGGCAACGGTTTTCTTCTATGACGAGCTCACCTAGCTTACACTAGGGTGTCTAGATAAAAAATCCAAGCCACTTAAGCTTGGCCTATCTCTCAACAATCACCAGCCCTTTGGGCTTCGGCACTTTTCTCGGCCCAACACTGGCCTATTGGATCCCAGCCGATGTGCTGGTGTATCTGTGTCTATATTGCACACGAGTGGCACCCTTATTTGGGCCATAGCCATCTAGGCCTGCATTTCTAGCCCACGTTTGTGCATATGGGTTTCTTACTCAAAGCCCTACCTTTGAATGACACCAGCCTAATTGGGCATTGGTCTCTCAGTGTCCCCACTGTAACAAAACCCAGCCCCTATAGGGCTTTCCAAGTTCCCTGCACCCAACCTACACCAAATCCCAGCCTGTAGCTGGTGATTCGGTGCACTTAGCATGCGACGCACTTGATCGTGCCCTCCGGGAACACATACACTGCGAAGCAGCGAATTTGTGCCTATTTGTCTTGGACCTACAACCAAGTCGAGCCTAACCCAGCCCAATTTTTGGGCTTGGGCTGCACCTTTTAAATTACTCAGCCCACCCGTGAGCTTTGGCTCAATATTTTGGGCCCCAAGTTTAAATGCTTTTTTTTTTAGGCCTTATGGGTTTTATAATTTTTTCACCCATAATTTAATTTTGGCCTGAAGTCCAAATAATTAATTCAATTATTTTCAAGACCTGAAGATCTATTTGCATATTTCTATATATATATATATATGTATGTATGTATGTATTTGTCTGCAGGAACATATGAACCTAAAGTTCATAATTATTTCGAAACCTGAAGTTTCTAGAAACATGCCTTGTTTGAAAACCTTAAGTTTTCCTTCAAAACATCACCCCTGAAAATCCAAAGTTTTTTTAATTTAAATTTAAACCAATACATGTTTATTAGAACCTAAATGTTTTACTCCTATGTGAATGGATTGATTTTTTCTCCATTACACTAACCACATCTTGTCCATTTATTTTGTGATAGGAACAAGTCAAATTTGAACAAACTCGACTTCACCGTGTTGGAGGTCTTTGGAAGAAACTACCTCAAGTGGGTCTAATATGTGAAGCTCCACTTCATTGCAAAAAATTTGCGTCCCGCCATTGAAGATGAGATGGACAACCCGGTTGGCGAAGCTGAGAAAGTCGCTGCCATGATCTTCATCCGAAGACACATTCATGATGCACTGCAAACCGAGTACCTTACTAAAGAAGATCCACGAGCACTTTAGGTCGCTTTGGCTAATCACTTTGATCACCAAAATGATCTTCTTGCCTGAAGTAAGACATGACTGGCAGCATTTGCGCTTCCAAGACTTTAAGTCTGTGAATGAATATAATTATGAAGTTTGTCAAATCCGATCGCTTCTCAAGTTCTGTAACAAGACCTTGACCAAAGAAGATCTCTTGGAGAAGACCTATTCGACCTTATCTACTTCTAATATTCATGTAGCAATAATATAGGGCTCAGAAGTTCATTAAGTTTTTGGATTTGATCTCTGTTTTACTTCTCACTGAAAAGCAGAATTAGCTATTGATGAAAAATCATCAAGCTCAACTTACTGGGGCGACTGTTGTGCCTGAATCACATTATAGCACAAACCAACGCCCAAAACGCCAACATATACGTTGTAGGGGCGGCCAGAAGCCACCCCGTCAAGGTCAATAGAGCCAAGGCCCACCTAAGGGAGGAAACTGAGCCCAGTAGCTCCCTAACCTCGCTCCCAAGGCCCCAAACTTCAAGAATAATGGCAAAGCACCTGAAATCATGGTTGCGGACATATGCTATCATTGTGGTTCAAATGACCATTGGTCCCATGTTTGTCAAGCTCCCCAAAAGGTTGTAGCTGAATATCATTCTCGTCATAAGTTTGAATTAAACTTTGTGCAAGTGGAAGAACCGGAAAGTACCAAGATGGAGGTTTCTAACTTTCAAGAAGATACCAACCCTATGGAAGATTAGAATCTTAGACATGAACTATTTTTAGTTGAATTTAGAGCCTTAGGGGCCGAATTCCACCTAGTGGTCGAACCCCCCTTGTTTTTGGTTTAATTTTGAACAAATTCCTTTATGTTTGGATTATTTGTTGGTGATTTGTTTTTTGGATATTAAGTTTTTATTAATTACCATCCTTGAATACTTAAATTATTTTGAATGGATATTTGTTTTTGGAACTTTTATGCATGTGACTAATTCAAATTCATTTTTATTTCTAGGTATGACTAGTGGGAAAGTTAGTTCTCTGGCAGATAGTGCAATCACACATACCGTTTTACGTGAACGCATCTGTTTCACTAACTTCATATCTAAGAATGCACCTCTGACAACCATCTCCGACTTATCCAACCTGATTGAAAATACGGTAAGGGACATATAATGTTGTCTAATGGTACAATCTTGACCATTAATGAGGCACTTTATTCTCCGTGTTCTGGAAGAACGTTGTTGAGTTTCAAGGATATTAGAGATAATAATTACCACGCTGAAACCTATGTAGAACATGGAGTTGAATTTCTGTGCATCACTTCTTACGAATATAGCCAGAAGCATATTCTAAAGAAGATGGAGCGTATCCTGAGTGGTCTGTATATTACGAACCTACGCCCTATAGAAAGCCACTATGTGGCTAGCTCTACCTCTAAGACCACGCATGAAATTACACTTTGGCATGATCTTTTGGGACACCTTGGACGAACAGTGATGCGCCGTATCCTCAAATCATCACACGGGCATCCACTAACCCGAAGTTTAGGTTCGATTCAAA